TAATGAAATAATTTATTTTTGGTTTAATAATATAACATTTTATAAAGATAATAATTAAGTATTCTGTTAGAACTCAATGATTATCCTAATTATATTTTAAATTTTTTATATTTAAAATGAGATGTTTATCCTGTATTTGATTGTGTTTATATGCAATTAGTTACACGAATTCAGAGTTTTTAAGAGTTTTAAGAGTTTTAACCAAATGCTTTATAAGATAGTATAGATTTACAACATCAGTCAACCCGTACCAGTTAGGTTGGTGCTGCTCGAGTTAGTCGGGTTATATATAGTTATAGCATTGCGGTAACATACTTAAACTAACAACTATTTTTCACCATCACGTAATTGATTTCCTATGCTATTTAGAGAACAAAGAAAATTTATATCGACATCAAAAATAAAGTTGAATATTTGGCAAGATTTGTGATGCATTTACGAAAAGAGTTAACACGACCATGCAAGTGAAAGGCACTACTAAGAACAAGTATAGCAGTTAATGTGAATAACATATAAGAGAGAATATTGTGTTTATAGGAGTGGGTTGAGTTCAAATTGACGTAACACAGTTCCAACCCTATACATCATTTTGAAGATTTTACAACTCAATTAGACATCGAATTGGGCTGACAAGTTGATCAGGTTTTTGTGAACCCCTACACTTTGGACACAACAAATGCAATTTGGTTTACGAACTTATGGTTAAGGTTTTGTGTAGTTTTTTAATTTATCAATGTTGTTTAACCTCCTACTTTTTTGTTCCATCCAATTCTTGTCGGATAAAAAAAATGCATTTTTTCTCACTCGATCCCGACATGTCCTAGTACAATGTCCGTCAAACTGGAGAAGAGTTTTTATTCTGTTATGTCCCATGATGCCACCTGTACCAAACGCACCCTAAGAAACAACATAATCGATATTCACTTGTTTATGATTCGTTTTAAAAGTCGCATAAATTCAAACCATTTGGTTAATGGTGAAAATTAAAGAACTAAATATATGCATTATGTACAGATTACACACACACTAATATCCCAAAACTGAGTAACACATTTCTCTCAATATTCACACACAAACCTAATTTAGAAGTGGTGCACATACTCTACACATAGCTGCTGCTTTAATCATGTTAGATTTAGCCGCGTCGAGCAGCGGATCGACCTGAAGCGCTTTGTTGAAGCAGAATTTCGCTTCTTCCCATCGCCTTTCGGTAACAAATACAAGCCCTAGATTGTTATATGCAGGGGCATAACCAGGCTGCAGCTCCAGAGACTTGGTGAACATGGCTTTTGCATATTCATATTGTTTTTGCTGACGGTAAAAGTTTCCCAGGTTACAAAAGATTGTATGTGCCTGTTGCGGTTTTGCCAGTGACAAGGCGCGCTTGTATACTTCTTCGGCTTGTAAAGATGATGTCTCCGATAGTTGCAGAGAGATACCTGGGTGTGTTGCAGTGTTAAAATGCCACCAACATGAGAAGTCTTGCAAAGAAAATAATGTCCCATAAAAACCGCAATATTCATTTTTTGTTAGATATGTGGAACCCTTTTGAATCTCTCTCTAGAAGAGTCGTTGGAGGGGATGTTCCTACATATGTACAAGTTTGATGGTACGTGTCTATCCGACATAGAAATCCAACACAGCTCCTCAAACGGAGGTGAAAAAGTGTGTTTACTAGATGGGGTAGACCCCGGCTCTGATACCATGTTAGATATGTGGAACCCTTTAAATCTCTCTTTAAAAGAGCCGTTGGAGAGGAGATGTTCCTACATATGTACACAGGTTTGATGGTCCATCTCTAGCCGATGTGGGACTCCAAGATTTGGAAGGATTTCGGGTTAAAACTACTTAATTAAGAAAAGTTGATATTGATTCGAGTCCACAAGAGGTTTTATTTTGTGGTTGACAAACCACGTTTCGAATCAAACCTTGCAACTTTCAAGGGATTGGTCCAAATCAAGGGGATTGTACTCGCTCCGTCCCAAAACAAATGTTCACTATGAAAAAAACACAATTTTAAAATATGCAATTATTACACTTCTTAATCAACTAATGACAATTTTACCTTAATAACAGATGGAGTAATGAATTTTCCCATCTCATAATTAAAACAGGAAAGTACAACATTTACTTTTGAAAATTGTCATTTATTTTGGGACAAACTAAAAAAATGTGGGCACTTATTTTGGGACAGAGGGAGTATAAATTTGTGAAAATACCTAGGTTTGACCAAGCATAAGAGCATTGGCTGTCACGAGCAACTGCGGCCTTGAGGTATGTTTGGGATGTTTTGAAGTTTTGGGTACAGAGACTGTGAAGCCCAAGTTGATGCCATTGTACTGGATCATCAGGGTCCTCTGATATTGCCTGCGGACAGAAAATATAAATGGTTTCATTTTCATCAATTGTAGCAAAAGACAAGCAATCTCTCTCACACATACAGGATATGAAGATTCATTTGCGTCACCCAATAGGGCTATGTCATTCGCAGCAGGAAACAAGTACTTGCTATATAGAGAAGACAATTCAGAAGGAAAATACTGATACCACTAACCTTAAGGAAAAGGAAGTATTTAATATATGTGTTTTGATGGAATGCATCAACCCCAATCTCAAGGGGGTGTGGAGTGAATTGTGAGACTTTGGAGGGCCTAGTTAATATTAATTAGTTAATTTTTATCATTATATTAAATAGTCTTATATTATTAGGATATATTTTTAGTATGCTATTTCAATTATGGTAGGTTTAGGAATCTTGAGCATTTATAGGTGATTAAGGTCAAGGTTCCGGGGGAGGAAAAATTTAATCTAGAGTCTTGGGAGATCACCTACTTCTCGAATTGTAGGCACTATCCCTGTAATTTTCTTTCAGATAAATGAGAGTCCAATTGCTTTCCTATCAGTATTTATAGAAGACAAATCATATAATGGAGAAGTCACCTGTTTTAAACTGTATATTGCCCGTTCTTCAACCTCCATTAATTCATTTTCTTCGATTTTAAATCCAGCTGCAATTTCATGCTGGGACTTGTGAACCATGGCAAGCCCTGCCCAGGCTATAGGGAGCTCGACTGCAAGAGAGTCACCTTCCTTTAGTATTGAAGCCATTTCATTTCCAGCCCAGGAAAGTTGTTCACTAGGATTTTGAGACCTTTCAGCTTCCCTGATTCGATGAACTGCAACAGCATATCGAGTTGCCAAACAATTGGACTCCAATTTTGCAGCCTGCAAAGCAGAATGGTATGTTGTTGTTTCAAAGATGAAGAAAAAGCAAGTACTCCTGACAACCGAAATATGGTGGTATGAGAATTAAGTTAGAACCTTAATGGAAAATAGTCTTATATTTAACTTGGTCTCCAAACTATAAGAAGCAAAAAATAAATCTCTACTTGCTTTTTGGGTATGTTTATGCTCTCATTAACTGGTTGACCCCCTTAGAATCCTACATGGAAATCAGAAGCCAGTTTGAATTACCAAACTGAAAATTTGAGGGGCCAATATATATAGGTAAAATGAATGTTTAGTAAACAAACATAAAATCAAATGTTTAAAGGTAACTCCGACACTCTTCCCTCTTCTGGCCATCCCCTGCAACTGTCACCGCCTCTCTGCATCACCACCAACTCCTGCAGATAATCGCATACTAGAATACTACATGCCAAAATTGAAGACCACCTCCTGCATGGTCACCCTGCAAACTCTAGTGGCTTATTTAACGGCTTAAACCACCCGGAAACCACAAATTGAAAATACATAACTACTCCACGCCACAACCAGAACAAAACCAAACTAAAGCCTCAACTTCGAATCAACAGTTACCTGAATTCTGAGTGGCCATATTCATAACAAACTTTTGTGATGAGTTATATAAACAATACATGTCAATTTGTAATCCTCTTCCAGGAAGTTGTAGTTTATGTTAGATGATTTTTGTGATATATGTGCCTTGCTTTGTTCCAATAGGGTCTAAGGCAAAGCTAAAGTGGTTCATATGCCTACTTTATCTACTTGACGAAAGGGAATGCAAAATATTTACTATGAAAATAATTATGCTGATATATGCAATTATGAACAAAATTGGCTCTTCATGGTGAACAGCAGAAGCAGATTCATCAACTACAACACCAGAATACTAGTCAATTATCACAATATACCATCATTCAACATTTCTTTTACAGACTGAATCTGTGAATCTAGAAACCTATACCTAGAACTCAGGAAGTACCTTTTTTCAATCTACCATATCAACTAGAAACTCTCTTTGTGTGGATTATAGCAAATTAAAAAGTAAACAGAACCACAAAGTACAGAAAACTTCAGCTGCAGTAGTAACTAAACATGTGAATACGGGAGATGGAGATGATTAACCTTGAACTTATACAATTTTATCCCTCTTGGTTTCCTTAGTTGCATTTGCTCTCCTTTTGATCTAATTAATGGCTGAAAACCCCTAAAAATAGAGTTGTAATGTCCATGCATGAAGCTTTATTTCAAAACACATTCTATAAATCCAAATATAATATTTTGCAGGTGCCGTTTACTTCAAGGAACAACTTAGTTCCACACCAAATTTCAATTGCTTTTTTCTACAATTAACTTGAAAGTTCAATAAAGTATGATATCTTTTATAAAATGATTGTAGCAAAGGCAATAATCACCTTCTCCAAGCACTTCCCAGAGTTTCTATGATCACCAGCCATGTAATATGCATTAGCAAGATTGGTCCATACATGAGCAGCTTTTGGATCTGCTTTTGCAGCAGCTAACAAACATTCCTTAGCAACATTAACTGCAGTAACTCTATCCTCACAAGCCCCATCATCAGCATTCGCCCCGGCACCTGAGAATTAGGCCGTAGAGATCATTAGCACATCACTTCTACTTGACATCTTGATATGTATTCTAGGGATGCTAACAACAATTTTTAAGACATGAGAAGTCTAGCTTTTGTCTGATATCTGCAGCAAGAGCTACAAAAAGAGAGATAAATAGAGCTGACAGAAAACCACCAACATACCTGCAACCACGGAACCATATTTACACAAAAGAAGGGCAGCATAGTTGATAAAAACGGATGGATGGTTTTGGTCTTTTAAGATCAGGTCTTGGAAACATTTTGCTGAAAGCTCCAAGTTTCCACTGGATGACAGATGGCCATGTCAGTTCCCTCGTGTGGGTATCGGTGTAAGATAAGTATATAAAGCATGTATGTCAGTGAAAGAAAGAACAATAAGAGTAAACTTGATGGTCAACAACTTCTTAGTAACCATCAAGCATACAAACACAATTCTATACCTAGCATTCAGAATAGAAGCTTCTACTCGTTTTTGTTTCATCATTCATTCCTTATCCATTACAATGGTATAAAAGACAAAAGTTTCATGTCAACTAGTAAAATACACCAAAAGTATAAGGTCCTTACTTTTGAAGATGAGCCATTCCAAGGTTCCCGATGCAATCCAAGTTTTCAGGAGCTACCACCAACAAAGATGAAAGTACTGATATAGCATTCTAAACAAACAATGAGGGTCATCTTAGATCGTAAAACAGATTGTACTTGTTATGTGCACGATAACGAAAAAGTAAGCACTTGTACCTGCAAACGACCCGCTTTGAGTAGCAATACACCTAAAGTGTTCCAAACAGATGCCTGTCTAACATCAGATTTCATTGACTCATTTAACTTGCAAAGAATTTCTTCAAGCTCCTTACCCTCCAATTCTTTGCCTGAACCATAATCTTCTGAACTTCCCAGCAAAATACACTGCAAGTTATTACAAATGGATAATAACTGTGTTAAAACACTCAACTACCATTGGAATTTGTAGAAATCGTGTAATGGACATAAAGTGCAGGAGTGCAAAGCTGTATGCACCTGTGCATGATGAGTCTGAACCAAAGAAAGCAAATCTGGCCTGTCAATATCTTCATCACCACGAAGCAATATTTCTTCGGCCTTTTCATATGCTGAAACAGCCTATATAGATCCTCCAATCTTAGTGAAAAATAACATGTGTGTAAGCTAAGCATGGGTAAGATCCTACCTTCTGTGGTTGTCCCATCCTTTGATACATTAGGCCAAGTATAAAATGAACATGGGCATTCTTAGGCATCTTTCGGGCAACATGTACCAAGCCCTACAAGTATTCACGTGTTTCATCACATCACTCTTACAATTTTTGAACAAACTACCAGAGCATAAATAGTAGAAAATAAATAAACACAAGTTATTCACAAGCAGGATCAACATAAGTGGTAATTATAGAGATGCTCTACGCCTCAACTAATATGTTTGCTCTTATAACATTTAATAAATGGAAGATTGAGGTTATTTTAATCTTCATTTCTAACCAGTTTTCTATCATACTACTTGATGAAAAGGACAATTAAATCACAGCACCACACGAAGCTCCATTGAGCTTTCTTGTTAATCTGCCACATTTGACACATCAGGTCCAGTTAAAGTAACATAATAATCACTAATATCCATGTGTATGTATAACCTCGCTTTTATCACCCAAAATGGAGCATTTTAGATCTTTTAGAATGAATGAGATAAAAATAATAATTGTCAGAAACAGGAAGACAAAAGATACCATATTCAGAGACATATACCAAATCAAACCAAACTTCTATAGATGGATATTAGACGTGTAAACATCCCAATAGCAACATATACCTATTACTTACAACAATCCATCTTTTATTTTGCATTACTTGAAGTAGGCTATAAGTAAGTGCAGAAGAAATTATGCAAATGAGATAATCTACACTAATTCTCCTATGTTCGTATTGGACTTTCGAACTTGCATCACGCCCTTTGCCCGGCATGCCCACAGATCTAAGTTGGATAAACAAATTTTGTATATTGAGCCATTGATTCAAGCCTACAGTTGGTGGAATGAGTTGAATTCTTATTCAAATACTGGATCCTTATATTAGAAACTCAAATCAATATTTTCATGAATGTGTGCCAAGACGCAAATATATGAAATTCAGCCCAAGCCAAAACAAGCTAGCTTAGACCACATCACACCCAAGACAAACATATCCACAAAGATGAGAACTCACTGTTTTAAGGCTGCTGACTTTTTCCTCACGAGATGAGGGCACACCTGGACTGTTATGATCACCTTCAGCATCAGCTCCACAATCAATAGGGAATTCCATCTTACCAATTCGTGATCGCGACTTCCCCAATTTTTTAGATTGTTTACCTTCTAGTTCAACTGTGTCAGAATCTTTCCCCAACAAACTGATTTTATCTTGATTGTTTTCTTCATTATTCAACCTACACAAATACAACCACATGTACACACATGAATGCCATAACCTCATTTTGCTCCTAAGTGTACACCGCGTTGCATCCCTTCAAAATAAAGAGAGCCCCTCTTCGATATTTTGAGAATGCAAAACTACATTTATTTTGATCGAAATTGTAAGCAAAATTATTCGATATTCTAGTACGTGTTACAACAATTCTCCTAGTTAGCAATTTTCTCACGAAATTCTGAAAATCCATATCAATTACGAAGTTCAGAAACACTCATTTGGTATCCAAAATCAAAACATAGCTCTAATTTTCTCGAACATTCAACTGATTGCAACTAATTATCTCACGAAATTCATAACAAATAAAATTACAAAAGAAGCAGCAAATATTAAGAGATTAAATATTAACATAAGAAGGAGATAACAACTAAATGTGAAAGACCTTGGAAAAGTATCTAGGGCGTCAGTATCAGTAGGTGGGTCAACGTTGAGATCAGCTAGCACTACTATTTTAGGTGGATGAAGTCGTGACGGAGCTTTCGAGCAATCTTCCGGTGCGACGATGGTGGCGGAGGAGAGTTGAGGTTTAGTATGGACGCCGGCGGGATGGTTAGTAGCCGGCGGTTGGGACATTTTCTAGGGTCTAGTAGTAGCAATAGCAGTTGTGTGGGCTTGTGAAGAGTAGACGACGAGACCTGAAATTGGTCATGGTCATTATATACCCTTTCATTCATGGTCTCCTCTCCAATATATTTTCCTTCTTTTTGGATATACTTTTTTCCTCCAACAAATAATTTGTCTTTTTTTTATTTTTCTTTTTAAACAAATATAATATTCATTAAACATATTATTTCAACTACTATAAATAATCAATTTAATGTGTATTTGGAATTGCTTATAAAAATAACTTATTGACTCATTCTTGTATGACACCGGTAATAAGCACTTTTTGAGTTTTGGATAAAGCTTATACCGGTGGTGCCAAACCGGTAATAAGAAGTTTTTGAAGAAGTTAAATCATTCTAACTTGTAATAAATTGATAAGGTCTTTTGTAGAAAAATGTAAGTTGTTTCAAATAAGAAATCTCAAACACCCTCTTACCACAAAAATACGAGAACAAGAACAAAATTTACGTTAACCATCTCAAAGTATGAAAATTTTATGTATATTGAGTTTTTAAGATATTTAGAGTAAACTAAATGTTTCGTTCACCTCGTCGTATGTTTTTAATAGTTCTTGTATATTTTTTGAAAATGCAACGAATCGTGTTTTATGGTTGCAATTTTACAAGCGAGATTCTTAATGCAACCGAAAAGGTGAACGTCGTTGATTTATTTAGAGACTAAACTCATTAAGAAAATACAACTACAGAGACCTAACTCATTAAAAAGAGACGGTTAAAAACACCTAACCACAAAGAAAGACACAACCAAAGGGCCTTTGGCCTCACGATACAGTAGTCCTTGACTTTCTAGGAGGTCAGGGGTTCAAACATCACCAAAGATGAGAAAAATATGTGAGTTCATTTGTTGCATTTGTCGTATACTTTTAAAAAAAGACATATAATCAAAATATTAAATACACTTAACATTTCAATATCATAATTAATGCTAAAAAATTAAGAATTAAGAATGTAATTATATTATGAAACCTCTCTGCGTCACCGGCGTCCAACGAAATCCGAACTCCGAGCTCCCGACCACTTCTTCTTGTTCTTCCAAAACTCATCTTTCTTCCCTTTCTTCTTAATCTTCACCCAACCCAGCTTATTACTGATGATCCCCATTATCGCACTCTTATCTTTCTTGTTCTTCGTTGCAGCTTTCACGTCCAAAATCGCCCGTAATTTATGATACGATCTCGCATCCGGAACCTGCCCGCTTTTCACCATCTCTTTATGATAATAAAACGCTCGCTTAAAATCCCGAACCCGAACATACGCGTAAATCATGGTCGAATACGTAACTGAGTCAGGTTTCAACTCAAGCACCGCCATCTCCTTCAGTAGTTGTGGCAGCTTACTCTCGTTCCCACCACGTGCATACGCATTTATCAGCATGTTATATGTCATCACGGTCGGCTTCAATCCGATCTTCCCGAATTCACATATCACGTCTCTTGCGTCACTGTACTGACCTTGTTTTGCAAACCCGTCCACAAGAATATTGAAAGTCACACGGGTTCCTTTCACTTTATCGTTCATCATCGTTTTCCAGGTTCTCGTTAGCGATTCAGTGTCGCCAGCTCGCCGGAATGCGTCAAGTAACGCGGTGTAGGTTTCAATCGACGGTTTCACACCGTCCCTTTTCATGTTTTGGAACGCAAGCTCGGCTTTTTCGTGCCATCCGCTGATTGAGTATGCATGTATAAGTGCTGTATAAGAATGGGATGTCGGTTTTATGCCGGATTTTTTCATCTTCAAGAAAGCATCAGCCGCCATATCGCTCATTTTCTTTTGTCGGCCGTAAGCACTAATCAAACAAGTGAATGATTTCACATCTGTCGGTAATCCGATTTCTTCCATTTCTGCCATCAATTTTTCGATTACTTCTGGTTGCATTCTTCGGCTGTAAGCATCCATCAAAATGTTGTATGAAGCTGTGGTGGGTTCGATCCCTTTTGCCTTCATTTCAGCAAAAAGACCTTCGGCTTCTTCTATCTGGTCCGATTTGCTATAAGCGTTCATAATCGTGTTGTAGACGATTGCATTAGAAGCGATCCCTTTTTTCTCCATTTCTAATTGGATAATCAGCGCTTCTTTCTTCAAACCCTCGTCACAAAACGACTTAATAAGAGAACCCATAACTTCTAAACTCCATTTGAGTCCTCTAACGTTCAAGGTTTCGAAGAACTCCCATGCTTCTTTCGCACTATTGCCGGTTTTCCTCATAACCGTGATCATTATAGAGCATGTTACATTATCTGGTTCAACATTCTGTTCCTCCATCATCTCAAACAATCTCCAAGCATCATCATATCTAAGAGAAATAACCGAAAATCCAAGCATAATAAGATACGAGCTTAGCATAAATATTGTTTAAGCATATGGACAACATCCAAAAAGACGACAGATTGTAGAAAGAACTTCAAAAACATAAAAAACCGAAGCCACAAAGACATTGCAGCAAGAAAACATATTGTCGAGATGGAAAAGCGCTATCCAGTTCGCAAACCGCTACATAAGAATTCTGGGGTGTAACTGTAAACCTCTCTCACTACAACAAAATCGGCTTTTTGGGACATCAAAGACGTCTAAATGTGCTAATAAAGTGCATTATAGGACTTAACTTTATAGGACCAAATACAATCAATAGGATATTATGTAGTACTTAGGCTTCCTAACAAGTTTTTTAAACTTAATAAAGTGTCTTATTAGCTTTTTTATAGAACACTTTTCAGAAGTATCCTATGCAGACATCTTTTTACAGAACACTTATTTTTACTTTTCAAATAATGTCAAGTAAAAAGACTAATAAGACGTTTTATTTCAAAATTGTCCTATAAAAACCTGCTATGACGCCCAAAAGTGTCTTATCAACTTATCGAAACACCTATACAATATCAAGCACAATTGTCTTGTCCTATAAACTTAACTGATATAAAGCAGTTTATTATACCATTTAGACATATTTGGCACTGTCTTATAGGGAAATATATAGAAATGCCTTTTCCATATATATATATATATATATATATATATATATATATATATATATATATATGCATTAAAATTGCTTTCTTCATATAGTGAAAGCTTGGTTGAACCATGTAAATTCTGTGTTCTTTTTATTAACCTAGATATCCAACCCGCTATGCGAGCCGACTAATCTCAGTGCGACCACCTGCTTTGCAGATAGCCCGGAGCCACTGCATTTGAACCTCCATAGCCACAAGGGGATTTTTATTCCTCCTTTGATTTGAAACTGGGACCTCCAAGTACTTTTAACCTTTGGAGCCAAGCTCAAACCAATCAGGCACCACCCTTGTGGTTGTAAATTCTGTGTTATTGCGTGCTTTTCTTGGTTGTAAAACATAACATGACAAATCAATCATACCCATTCAAGAATTCTTAGTCAAATTAGGCTATGAAATCAAAACCGATACTAGGAAACAATGAATTAGACAAGAAGGATGAAAAGGCATACCTCCCACAATACGAAAGAGCAGAGATTGCAGAATTATACACATGAACTTGCTTGAATTCCATGGAATTGGGCAAATTGTTGAACAAAATCATCAATTTATCACCCATTCTAGCTCTTCCCAACACAGGAAACAAAGCAGAATAAGCCCAGGGTGTAACCAATGAGGGCTCCTGTAAACTCATCCACTCAAAGAAATATAAACAGCACATTGTTAATCCCTCCTCCTGACCCATCAATCCCAACACTTCTACACAATCTCTTGCACTTAATTTTCCTTCATACGGCCCCAAAACCTCACCTAAAGTCACATTCTCCGGCAAATTCCTCGCGATTTCAAGAACTCCGGTGACACCATTACTTGTACTACTAACCTCAATAACAGAACCACCGATTTCTTCACTTCCCGTTTCGGGCTCAGCAATATTGATAACTGGGGTTCCCTGTTCTTCAGTATTGGATTCGGTTTCGTAACCGGATTCTTCAGGTTCAGTGTTGGTGATGGTGGTGGAGAGGTGCCAGGAAGTGCGGCGGTTTTTTTGGAGAGTGAATTTGCCTTCAAGGGCAGGGTCTGGGAGCTGAGAAGAAGTTTGTGCTTTGAAGAATTTATGAATTGGGTCTGTGATTGATTCATCTTTCGGGAGTTCAATTTGTGGGGTTTCTAAGTCTGAGATGGTTTCTTCGTGTTCTTGGAGGAAAGGAAGAAAAATTGATGGTGAAGATAAAGGGGTTGGGGACGAAGGGTTTCGATTTGGAGGAGAAATAGCAGAGAGAGGGATACATGTTCTGAGTTTAGTTAGAGAGGTTCCATGATTGTGATGATGAAGATGAAACCGAGAGGAGTAGGATGAGAGATTCAAGAATGTTAAGGATAAAGAGTGGTGGTTGAGACTGACCGCCATAGCTTCGACCTTCACTGGATGTCGCTTCTTGTGATGCTACTACAGATTCTCGTTCTGATTAGGTAGTCTACATTTCCATAAGAAAGAAACAGATTTTTATTTCATTTCGAAGATAAAATGGGAAAGAAAATCGAAACCCTAACGGAAAGAAAAGCAAGATTTCGAGATGGACGGAGAAGAAAAGGAAATCGAACCAGGAAATGGTGGATTTCAGGATGGTGTGTAAACCCGACGAGTGGAGCAGTTGTTTACTCCGACTCATGTTTGAAAAAAATACCGGGTTGGAGCTCGACTCGAGTGGTGCAAGGGACCGTTTAGCAAAACATTTATCTGGTGAATGCTTAAATATAAAATTTAACATTATCTTTTACTTATTAGGTAAGATTTTAGTCCAACAAAACGGCATCATATACAACAATTTATCTGGTAAACACTTACCATGGTAAAAGTCGTCGCCCTCACTTATCAAATAAGACTCTTGGTCTTTGTCTCGTTCTTACCGGATAAGATTATTGATCCTTATCATATTCATTCGATAAGGTAATGTGATTTTTATAAGCGTTTATCCAGATAAACGTTTGGTAAAAATCCCCTAACTTTTTCAATATAGAGAGCTTGAGCTCGAATATTTTTGGAATTATCAAGTTTGAGTTTGAAGTTTGTTTACAGGCTCGAACTAATGATCGGTTAACTTGTTTATAGTCTCGATGTTGATAAATTTTATATTTTTATTGTATGATTTATGAAACGACTGATCCGGATTATTACTATTTCAGCCCAAGACCGATTTAGGCCCAGCTCGAGACCGGTTTTTGACCATTTCTAGATGCAAATGAGAAATATTAATCTGCAATTTCATTAATAATGGGAAATACAATTATAGACTATAACCCATTATACGATCCATACAATTAAACATCTATTTTTTCGAAACCAAACTTCTATAAGGGTGCGTTTGGTACGCTGGACAGGGTGGGACAGGACAGGACAGAACACATTTGTCCTACGTTTGGTGTGGCTAAATGTGGGACTAAGTGGAACTAAGTTGGACAAGCATGGGACACGCGTGTTCTCTCCTTACCCCTGGAACTAAGTGGAACAGAGACATTGTTACCACACTACCCTTTCCCCCTTTCTTCCCCACATTGCACTCTCCATCAATCGGCGCCCCTGCACACTCCATCGCACCCCTAACTTCTCCTTCTCCATCTCGACGGTGACGGGAGTTCCCTTCTCGACGACGACATCTCTTCTCCTGCCCATCGACGCCCCTGCACCTGCCAAAGACGCCGCCACTCCATCGCACCCCTAACCTTCTCCTTCTCCATATCGACGGCGACGGGAGTTCCCTTCTCGACGGCGACATCTCTTCTCCTCCCCATCGACGACGACATCCCTTCTCCATACATCTTCGATTTCGATTGTGTTCTTCGTTTTAATCGATATATATGAAACATATGGGTTCTTCGATTTCGATTGGGTTCTTCGATTTCGATTGGGTTCTGCTGTCTTGCATCTTGTATTAATTTTGGTTGTATCTTTCTGAAACAGATGCTTGCATGTGTTCTTCGTTTTAATAGATATATATGAAACAGATGGGTTCTTCGATTTCGATTGGGTTCTGCTGTCTTGCATCTTGTATTAATTTTGGTTGTATCTTTCTGAAACAGATGCTTGCCTGTGTTCTTCGTTTTTGAGACGTTGCCTTAGTTTTCGATCATCTCTTGATCATTAGCATATGAATTGGATAAAAATATAGAATGTTTGTTATTTGCCTGTATTTTGTGCTTTTGTGTTTCGAATTAGGTCAAATTATGAAGTTTTTGTTGGATTCATGGACTGTCTTGAATACCCATCAGTTATGTCGAGCTAAGGACAGTAATAAGTTCTTGGGAAACTGTTTTGCATATGTTTTAACTTAGTATAGAAGCAAAATAATGTTAGGGGTAAATCGGTCATTTTAACCAGTCATGTCCTGTCTTACCAAAAGCTGAACAACTGTCCTGTCCTGTCCTGTCCCGTCCTGTCATGTCCTGTCTGCGCACCAAACGCACCCTAAACGATCAATCGAATGTTAAATAGTGATCGAATTTTCAATAAGCCAATCAAGATCAGTAGTAGGCGAGACAAAAAATTAAGATCCTCTTGTCAACATTAAGCCACAAGATTTCTATCGTCCTTATATAATGGACCTTAAACAATGGTCTCGACTGAAGCAGGTACCGACAATGCTTCGTAATGATTCCAAACTCAATGCTATTTGTGTCTTCTCTTCGTGTCCCATTTCCAACCAACTGGGAATCGACTCAAAGATCACTTGCTCGTCACTTCAAGAAACCCGCTCCTCTACATCATTTTATAGCTAATAATGTTCCATCCCCATTCCGCATAAACATGCCAGCTCCCAAAAGACCAAGCTCCTTGAACATCGTTGCATTACTATGGCATTTAAGAAATAGCGGTGGCGGGGGATGCCATGCACCACACATGGAGTTTGGCGTACCCTTGCCTTCCGACCATGCCCATTCTTGGCTTGTTCCCACTCTATCATCGTTGTTGTCTTGAGTCGAGTTACCACCTCAACGATTGTATAGACACCTTTCCACACCCGTTGATTTCTTTCCTTCCATATGCTCCACATAATAGCTACCAATCTACCCAACATTGTGTGATTGGTTATCTGTATCACCTTAAATAACCACTCCTTGAACCCTATGGAGCTTAAAGCTATATTTTGGATTATGCTTGTCATCCCAGCTTGTTGCCAACAATGTTGTGCAAAACCGCACCCAATAAACAGATGGCAAGAATCCTCGACCTCATCTGCACAGCACCCATACTAAAGGGCCGTTCACCAAACACTTACCCGGTAAGCGCTTATCGGTAAATTTAACACTATCATTTACTTACCATGTAAGATTTTAGTCCACCATAACAGTATTGTAAGCAACAATTTACCCGATAAGGTAATGTAACTTGATGTTCACTTACTCGAATAAGCGTTTGGTAAACAGCCCCTAGCTAACTTCAACTCCTCTTTTTCTCAAAGTGGCTTGATTTGGAAGCACCTCCGTAGTTGCTCTCCACGCAAGTCAACCTATCCTCGATAAACAAGGCAAAGTTTGGACGTTCAATATGAAATTGAACCGGAGAATGACAACACAATGTGTCATTTAGGTAGGGTTGTCGTTTAAACTCTTTGACAACCATTGACTTACCAAGTTAATCCAAAAAAATGCTACAACCACGTTACAGATCAGTAAATCATCAAACTCTAAGGACACGTGATGACATAAATTCATTTTAATTTGATTTGTTTTGTATCCTTAATGTATGACGTTTTGAGCGCCACAGACAATGTACCATATCTATATTATCTTATAAAGCATTTGGCTAAAACTCTTAAAAACTCTTAAACTTGTTCATCCCTAAACGATTTCATCCMTATCCGATTTCATCCCTATCCGATTTCATCCCATATTTGAATTCGTGTAACTAACTGCAGATAAACGCAATCAAATGCAGGATAAACATCTCATTTTAAATATAAAAAATCTAAAATATAATTAGTATAATCATTAAATTTTAACAGAATACTTAATTATTATCTTTATAAAATTTATAATATTAAACCAAAAATAAATTATTT